CGAAGTTATTACGCTTAATGCTGTCGACGCTCAGTACATTGGAATTGCAACGAAGACCAATGTGAGTTTCAAAAAAACGCGTAAAATATCAAAGCATTCGGCCTCGATAAACCGCCTCCTAGGGGTACGCCACGCATTTCACTTGTTATTTTGAATCTTTTTTTTCCGAATCGTAGTGGCATTCTGAATGCCATTTGGCTCGCACTAAGAATTCTGGGGCTAACCGATATGTGCAAGTCAGCGTTTTTGTACTGACTAGATAAGCCTAGTACCAGGTGACTGATATAGGAGGACTGGGAAGTTTGTTCGCCTGTAGGAATTGATCCTCGGAGCACGCGGTGAGCGGCACCGCTTCGGCGCCAAATCTTTATACTTCAAACCAAATTCTTGGGAAGAAGTTTGTCTCCGGCATTCATTAGTGAATTAAGTGAACGTAGCTCACGCTGTCGGAGTTCATAGATAGGTGGTGTTCTTGAACTTTTTGTGCTACTTTGTTGAATTATTCGTGAATCGTTCATATTGAATGGATAGATTGCGGTTGCTTTTGATATTTTGCCTATTCTTTGCCACACCACGGTCCATCTTTTTTTTTCTTTGCGACTCCATTCTATTTTCCATCATGAAATGGCAAAGAACATAGGGATGAATGATTTGATTTGCATTAAAATGCCATCACTGATGTTACTTGTATGCACAGATGAAGGAAGTCTCCAAATATGATTTGTTGAAAGGATCCCGCGTTGTGTTCCCAGCTCCTCCGAGGGCCCTTGGAAGAAAGCCGATGCAATACGTCCAGGTTCTTTTACTATTTCTTTTTCTTCAAAAGTTTGCTGTTCAAATAATGCCACCATTTCTTTTTTCACCAACACGGCTTTCTGAATCAAAATTCGGTCAATTTTTTCGTCAATATCAGTCTCGACCTTCTCTTTAAGATCGATATAGTTGCGATGGAGGAAACTCTGTATGGAGAGAGGTCGTACAACCAAGCGTTGTTTCTCACGGATTTGTACTCAGGGTATACATTTGCTCGAGCATTGACCGATAGCCCTGATCTAGCTATCATAGTTCGTCATGTCATGGATATTTTCGGATCTTTTGGTCCGCCGGGTGAGAACAAGTTCACACGCACCGTTATTCCACCTTTCACGAACCCTAACAGTCAGAATGTTTTAGAGGTCTACAGGACTCATTCAGCGGAGTATTCACACATAATAGCCGATGTCATGCTAGATATTGAGAG